AAGGCTCAGGGGTCCAAGATTATCTTCTGTGTCTGTGTTAATTGGTTTCCCTTTTCTTTGTTGAAGAGGGTCTGTGCAATCCTTCTGCCTAGTCTGCCATCTTGCCCCCTCGGCCTGGAGATCTTGGATTCGTCATTCGCTAGAGTCAAGAGCTGGTATACTGCCTACCAGCTTTGAGCTTCTTGGCCCCTGTGGTTGTGGAAGCTAGGAAAAGCCTTTAGCCTGACATGTGCTCCAGGGACTTAGGACTTGCTGGCTTTTATACATTTGTGAGCCATTTTCCTAAAATAAATTCCTCTCTATCTTTATATATATATATAAGCTTTGCTGGTTTTTGTTTCTCTAGAGAACCTAGTCTGACACAGCTGTCATACATAAGACTGCAGCCCCAGGCAATATAAATGGTATTTGTTCACACCATGGATCAACTGCTTTAAAGAATCAAAATGCAGAAGACAACTACATTCAACATTTAAGAATGTTTTAACAATAATAAAGCACTAATATGTGAATAAGTCATACTTTTATTTTTCAGAAGTGAAAATGACAACTGGCAACTTGCCTTTGGAAAAGACACTAAAGTATATTTGGGTAATAAGCTATCTATCTCATAGAGATAGTAGCATTAGAGAGACTTTATTATCACACAGCTCTCAAAGAAAGTCTTGTTAAATAAACCACAGAATGTTTTTAACAAAAACAAAATTATCAATAACAAAAAATTATACAGAGGCCATGAAGTAGTATGTGAGAAGGGAAAAAGCAAAATTGGAAATTCACACACTGGGAGAGAGTTCTCTATTAAAATCAAGAAGGTTTGAATCCTAAAACAGAAAAATAAGTACATTAAAACACAGTATTTTAAGAGTTCAACCACAGATGCACATTTTAACACTTCTTTTATTCAAGACATTTTTTTCTTACTCATGGAACACTTCTATCTACTGCAGAGAAATCACATGAATGGCAATGCAGATATGTATCTTCTCAATGGACCCTTCAAGTTTTAAAATTCATATCAGAATGTGGAATACCATTTAAATGTATAATAGACTATGTTGTTGTTGTTGTTATGTGCTATTGAGTTAGATTTGACTCATAGTGACCCCTCCTTGGGTTTCTGAAGCAGTATCACTATGGAAGTAGATTGCCCAACCTTCCTTCTGAGGAGGGGCTGGTGGGTTTGAATCGCCAGCCTTCTGGTTAGCAGTCAAGTGCCTTAGGCACTACGCTACCAGCGCTCCCATAACAGACTATAGAGAATGAAAGTGTTTTTTACAATGTGATTGCTTAATATTTTACACATTATGGTTTACAAACAATTTGAAAGAGACACAAGAATTTAAAGCATTAATAATAAGGTTATGTGAAGCTATACAACTTTTCTCACAAAGTAAACAAACAATGATTGCTGTCGACTGGATTTTGACTCATAGTGAAGCTACAGGATAAAGAACTGCCTTGTATGGTTTCTAAGACCATAAATCTTTATGGAAGCAGATTGCCACATCTTTCTCTCACAGAGCAGCTGGCAGGTTCAAGCTGTTGGCCTTTCAAATAGGGCTGCTATGAACCAGAATTAATTTGATGGCACACAACAACATGATGGTGACCAAGACATCTAGCTTGTATTTCTCTGACTCTCTCCTTCTTTCTCTCTCCATGATATCTGCTAGATAGTGCAAAGTTGCACTCACTATCCAAACATGTTATATAGGACTTCTCTACCACAAAGAATGATAATACCAGGAAATCATTTTCTTGATAGTTTACCAAAATCTTTTCTGAGAAAAAGCTAGCATTATTAGGAGATTATTTACTAGAATAAACTGTATAGTAATATAAATAAAATGCTTGTATACTGAAACCTGTGTAATTGGGAACATGACTTGTTTTTCTTATTCATGTAATTTTTCTGCCTTTGACAGGGTACAGTCTTATCATTTCTCTATTGGTGGTTTTAGTGGAAAACATTTGACTTTTCCTTCTCTGAAAGGTTTCCATCTTACACAGGTTCTGGCTTTCACAATTTTTGCTATAGTAGCAGCATCCTAGTGAACCAGCTAGTTGACCTGGGAAGAGCAATAGTGTCTGACTTCTCAAGAATCAGTAATTCTAAAAAGCAGGGCCAAATTTAGGTTACAAGTGCTTATAGGCACTTCAGGTTTTGGATTCTATCAACTTTCAGGTTAGAAAAGGAGAAAAGAATAAAATGTGGCTAAGGGATCATACTGACTCTAGGAGAGATGGATAGCTGTACTAAACTAGCTATCTACAAAACATACTTCCATCATAACCATCATAAAACTATGGAACATTCTTTTGCTTTGGTGGTATTTTTATCTCATGACCTTTGGTTTATAACTATATTCAGTGCAAAGAAAGGACTCTGAATTGGGAATGGCAGGAGCAATAACATGTTTTTTTTTTTTTTCCCACATGAAAACATTTTACAAAAGATTAGAGGTGTTTTTTAGGCGTATCTAGACCTGAGTTTCTGGATAAGAAAGTAAGAGGTTTACTCCAGATAATCTCTTAAAATTTCCTATGGCTCTAAAATTCTTAAAAATTTATACAGAATATTACACAATAATCAAGATTGTATATAAATATCACTTACTGTTTCTTTTTTAAAATATTTATGGATATAACTGTGTTTTTCTAAATGTTTCATTGGTAATACTCAATCTTGTAAGTCTGGTTCCATAGTAATCTATAATGTAACTACTTCCATCTGAAGGTCCAACAATCTAGAAAGGAAAAATTTCAAAATTACTAATTTCATAAGAGATATATTCCCAATACTTTGAATCTACTTTTCTCAGCTGTTAATAACATTATACCTACTCCTCACTTACCAACTATTTTGTTATCCAACATTTTGCATTTATGAGAACACTGAAAAAGTTTCCAGGTAGCACCTCCAACAGCCTGGGTCCCATGTGGGACCACAGCTGGGCCTGAGGTGCCCTCTGCAGGCCATCCTGAATGATATACTGGACACCCAAGAGATGACCAGACCACATGAGGGATGTTGGCCAACCAACTGCAAGACGCTTTCTTCTGTTTATCCTGACATCCTAGTCTGACCACGGAGGGCATGGGGCAATGGTGGGATGACATGAGGTTCCAGACAGGCAGAGGGAGGCCAGGCAAGAGCCCAGAGCTACTGGGGAGGTTGGTGGGAGGAGGCAGAAATAGGGAGGGAGAGAAGAGGGCTGCATGGGTCCACAGGGTCAGGCAGACAGAGGATGAACAGGGTTCCTGCCCAGGGAAGGTAGGAGGAGGCAGCAGGCAATACCCAACCCCCACAACCCCTGTGGGTTCCACAATGGTGGGGAAGGTGAGGTGGGGAAGGGGAACCCACCACACTGCATACATCCTGAGACATGTTAGGGGTACCTAATGGACAGTAAGGATCGGGGAGGACAACAGTGCCAAAGACAGGGTGTGGTCTCTGACTCTCACATAATGATAATTTCACTAAATAACTTGGTCTTTGGGAACAAACCATATCCATAAGTAAGGAGTGGCTCTATTTCAGTAGCAACAAAAGTCCAATTCAAACCACTTTAAGCAAAAAAAGGTAATTTAGTGGCTCCTGTAGCTGGAAAAAAAGGAGCTCTGGTGGTGCAGTGGTTAAGGAATCTGGCTGCTAACCAAAAGGTTGGTGGTTTAAACCCATCAGCTGCTCCATGGAAGAAAGATGAGGCAGTCTGCTTCTGTAAAGATTTACAACCTTGGAAACCCAACAGGGGTCGCTATGAGTCAAAATCAATTCAATAGTACTGTTTTTTTGCTTTTGTTCTTTTTTTTGAGTTAACTAATCTTAGAAAAATGATACACTTGTCTTCAAAGTTTCCTATACACCATTGCCAGACCACCAAAGCACAATACTGGTTGCTATTCCCTGCTAAAACAATTTGAAGAGTGGCCCCAAAGATGACCAAATTAGAGTGATAAAACCACTGGCTAAAAAGAAAAACTTTGGTTTGTCTTATAATGACATATGTCACTAAATTTAGGGTCCATTTACATAATCCAGAATGATCTCATCTCAAGATCCTTAACTTTAATCACATCTGCAAATAATCTTTTTCCAAATAAGCTACGACTCACAGCTTCCAGGAATTTGATGTGGATAAATTTGGGGGGACATTTTTGGCCTATTCCTCCTCTTTCTATGAGATGGTGAATGGTGGTTTGTTGGGACTGAGTGAAATTTAATTTCCTCTTTCATGTAATTTCTGATTGCTTACATCATGATATTATATTTGCAGGTTGAATTCAAATATGTGTAATATATATATATATATATATATATATATATATATATACACACACACATACATACACATACATGCATACACACACACATATATGTATACATACTATATTACATACATATTTTATAGAGAGAGAGAGAGAGAGTTATTTAAAGGCTTTGCAATAGGTGTAAAGCCTATAGGAAGAAGAGTAAACCAGAATACAAACAAAAATACATACTAAAATCAAGCATAGTAAGTGGTCACCAAATTTTCTGTCATTTTTTGTCCTTTATCCATGGTCCTCAATACACCCATGCAAATAACGAGAATATACTTAATTTGGCATATGACTGGGATATATGTTTATTTAAAAAAAAAAAAAAAAAACATGTATTTTTAACTTCTAACCTCCTAAATTGTGAGAAAATAAATTTCTTTGTTAAAGCCGTCCACTTGTGGTAATTTTGTTGTAGCAGCACTAGATAACTGAGATACCTACTCTATACAGTTTATCAATCAACTTTCATTTTTATTAAATACCTCTCAAGTAACCCTGTACAATTCAGAACTTTAGCTGAGGTACTAAAGGAAAGCAATGACTTTTTTAAAACTATCATTTTTAGATTCTCATTTTCCCTTAATTGCCATAGAGCCACATTTTTCACAAGGTATATTACATTCAGTTCAACTCAACAAAATTTTTGAGGGCATACTCCCCATTCAGCACACAATACTTGTGCTATAAACCAAAACTAAACTCACTGCCATCGAGTCAGATCTGACTCACAGTGACCCCTCCTTGGGTTTCCCAGGCGAGAGCACTACGGGAGTAGATTGCCCAACCTTCCTTCCGAGGAGTGGCTGGTGGGTTTGAACCACCAACCTTTGGTTAGCAGTCAAATGCCTTAGGCACTACGCCACCAGAGCTCCTACTAGTGCTATAGGGGACTAATAAAAGTCTTTTTTCCTCAGGACATTTATGTCTGAGAAGCTAAAACTATGTATGCAAAAGTTAAAAAAGAATACAAAGCACTATATAAACCAGTGCTAAGATGAGTGACATGTAAATAGTGCAAACATAAATGAGAAATTTTATAAATTTGTAAATTTACTAATAATATTCCCAAATGTCTTTGTGATTATACTGCTTTGGGTAACTTCAATTGCGTATATAGTTATTAGTCCTTCAAGGAAACCCACTCTGTAAATGTAATAGGAATGGAAAAGAAAGTAATATTTTTAGTGGTGTACAGAATTTATTTTATTTAATAAATAAAAAATCCAACATACTCCCTTTTGACAACTTTCTACATTCCAACTTATTTCTATTATCCTTCCATATATTCTCATCTTTCTGATTTGTGGCTGTCTTACCTCCACTTAACAGAAGACATTTTTTTGTTACACAGAGTACACATCAATGGTTTTAGTAGAATTTAAGATGTTTAGATTCTATGAGTGAGGAAAGCGGTTCAAATGAGATCAAAACACATTCTTTTTTTTCTGATCTTAAAAGTAAATTATATGATCTAATCTGTCCTTCATGATGTACATAAAATTATACAAGCACAAAAGAATGAATGTTTTAAGATTTTCAGAACTACCTTATGATAACTACATATACAGGAGGTATGTACAATAGTAGTAAACTGTTGAAAAATTGTATGCTACACATGCTATCACTAATTTAGATTTTTGTTGGATGTACAAATGGACTAAATTAATTCTAAGTTTTGTCTCATACCATTCATCATTCATATTCTTTTCATATATTAAATCTTTTTAAATCACTTTTTTTAAAGGCTGTATCATATGTTTTAAGAATAAAGCAACAGAGGAAACTTTTAAAGAATATTAGCAAATAGATAAAACTCATGAAATTATTTTCAGTTACCACAACTTGTAAACCTTCTTTTAGCAACATATGCAATCAGATTTTACAATGTTTTGTTTCAAAGATGAATTAGACATACTTATTTTTCCCAGAGGATTTTCTTGAATTTTTGTTATAAACATTGTTGATGTTAAAACAAAGTATGTTTTTATATGTCACGAGGTCATACACAATATGCTCCTGGTATCACACTCCAATAGAAACACATTGCTATTGCTATTCATTGGCAACAGCTAAAAAAGACACAGAAGCAATAGCAGCATCAGCAGAAGATGAAGAAGGAGGAGAAGGCATTGAGAGAACAGGGAAGGAAAGCGGAATAAGCAGAAAGATGATGAATAAAACATATAAGGTTAATGAAAATACACACTCAGGACATAAATATTAGTATAACCAAAAAAACCAAACTCAGTGCCGTTCCAACTATATATTGACCCTTCAGAGTAGAACTGCCCCTATAGGGTTTCCAAGGCTGTGTATCTTTATGGAAGCACACTGTCTCAACTTTTGGCTGGTGGCTTTCAACCGCCAACTTTTTGGTTAGCAACCAAATGTTTAATACCACCAAATATGAGTATAGTTTGTGATATTTATAGTAAAAACATACTTGACTTATTGAAAAAATAATCTACCTCTAAAACAGCTGCAATCGACATGTAATCACAAGTGTGTGTGTATATATATATATATTTTTTAATGCATTTATTGAAATATAATTTATGTACAGTGAAACACACAAAACTAAAGTGACATGGGTCAATGCATTTTTTTTTCCCCAGTGTTCCCACCCCTCCCCGCCCACCACTGGCAACAAACAAAGGAAGTTTCGCTCCATATATAAACCTTTCCTTGACCCTCCACAACAATGAACTAATACTATATTTGTCCTTCTGTGATTGACTTATGTCACTCAGCATAATATCCTCCAAGTTCATCCATATTATATGGTGTTTTTCAGACTCTACATTATTCTTTAGTGCTGTATAGCATTCCATTACGTGTATGTACCATAGTTTGGTCATCCACTCTTGTGCTATAAATCTTAGAGGTAAGTCCCTTGCCAGATATGTAATTATCAGCAAATATGAATTTTTTGCTGTCATTTTTGTTATGTGCTTTTTCATGGTGTCGATTTCTTTGCTCCATTCAATTTTCTATGCTGAGCTTGTTTTGTTTATGAATTGTGTTATCACTTCCTTCATTGCTATTGCTGAATATTTATGCTGGTCCTCTTTGTCAATGTGAAGCTTTATCATTTTTCTTTGATAAAGTTTTATTGTATTAACTTCCCTACCATCTACAAGTTCTGTACAATACAGTTTTTTTTCCCCTCTTTTTGGTTTGTAGTTGTCCTCATTTGTCAATTGATGTCTCTGGTTCCTTGTTTACAATCTTGTAGGCTTATTTACTTTGGATACTTCCATAGCTGGGTTGGTTTCTGGGTTATATCGTCATGTGCGTTAATGGTCAGTTGCTGTTGGCTGTTGTTGCCTCTCTGTCTGAAGAGCTCTGTTTCACATCTCTTGTAAGATTGGCCTGGTTTTAACAAATTCCCTTAATTTCTGCTTATCTGGAAATGTCCTAATTTCACCACCATATTTGAGGGACAATTTTTCTGGGTACATAATTCTTGGTTGGAAATTTTTATCTTTCAGGGTTTTATATATACCATCCCATTGTCTTCTTGCCTGCAAACCGGTTTTTGTCAAGAAATCTGAGCTTAGTCTTATTGGCTGCCCCTTGTAGGTAACTTTTTGTTTTTCCTGTGCTGCTCTCATGATTCTTTGTCTTTGGTTTTGGTGTGTTTGATGATGGTATGTCTGGGTGTTTTCTTTTGGAGTCTACCTGTTTGGGGTTCATTAGACTTCTTGAATGGATATATTCTCATCTTTTGTCATACCAGGAAAATTCTCTTCCAACAAATCTTCAACAATTTTCTCTGTGGTTTTATTTTTCTCTTCCTGTTCTGGAATTCCAATGACACATAGGTTATTCCTTTTGATGGTATCCCACATGAACCTTGGAATTCTTTCATTTTGTTTTGATCTTTTTTCTGATTTATCCCTTTCCAAAGAAGTGTTCAGGTATCTGCTTTCACTCTCCGTAATTCTGCTTTCCATTGATTCAATTCTGCTCCTTTGCCCATTCAATGTCTTTTGTATTTCTGAAAATTTAGTATTAAACTTCTGGATTTCTGTGTGTAGATTTTGTATCATTTCTAATTTTTCATTTATTTAGTCATTTTGTTCTTGTATTGTCTTTGGAAATTGTTCTAGGGTTTTCTCTGTGTTTTCCTTGATTTGTCTCTCAATTTATTGAAGATACCTAAATATGTTCTTTTGAATTCCTTATCAGGGAGTTCCAATGCTGCATCTTCCTAAGAGATGTGTTTTGGGTCTGTATCCTGGTCCCTCGTTTCTCCTGCTTTATCTTGCTTCTTTGTGTGGACTGTGATGCTCTGTTGTCTCCAAGGCATTGTGATGTTTTTGTGTTTATATTTAATTGGTGATTGTATGTTGAAGTGACTTGCCCACAATTTTCGTTTTGTTTTGTTTGTATGTTATCTATGCAAGCAGGATACTGTGCTCTTCTATTCACCAGTTGACAGCACTCTTATACACTCACCACCTGTCTCCTTTCCTGTTGTTGGCCTCTCGGCCTCTTGTGTGTCCCTGCCGACCTTGGCAAACAGAGCCTATTCTTGTTGTTGTTGTTGTTACGTGCTGGACCTGACTCATAGCGACCCCTCCTTGGATTTCCGAGGCAGTATCACTACGGAAGTAGATTGCCCCATCTTCCTTCCGAGGAGTGGCTGGTGGGTTTGAACCGC